TTCCCTTCAACCCCATTCTTTATTGATAAAATCTCTATTCTAGTCTGCTAATGCCTTCAGTTAACAAGGTTATTGCACAGAGAAACCAAAACACTCAACTGAAAGCATAAAATCAAAATTGGGTTTAGTTTAAAAGTATTTATATTTTTATTTATTTAATTAGTAACTCATTTCACACAGTGGTAACTTCACTAGATAGTTGTTTCTCATTACACTTAGTAGAAGTATAAGTTTCTATCACTACTGTAAATGGACAACTAATGTGAACTCATTACCCCAGATCAGCATAGGAATTTGATTTAGTAGTCTATACATATAGAAAAGGGTAGACAACAAGAAAGTGGATTAAAGAAAATAGATGATTCTCCTAAAGTAAATTGTAAATATTGTCAAGAATGAAGTAGTGAGAAAGAAACATTGTGCCCAGCTCAAATAATGTAGAAAACCAGTTTCTTATGAAATCTGCTCTACTGAAATACAAGAGCAGGACACTGATAGTTTTGAAAATACCACAAATGAAATATACTTGATACCACTAATTTCACTGAAATGTATTCATGTTTATAATTTAAATTCTTGGCCATGATTTTCTTGCAGGTCTTCAATATCTGCTTTATTTGACTTGGACATACAAAAAGGAAAAAAACCTTAAATATTAGTTATACTATTAAAAAGTAAGAGGTAAAGACTTGAACTTGAAAAGATACAATTTTCTTTTATGGTCACATCATCACCTTCGTTGTATCACAAAACAAGGAATTGAGTGGAATGACTTAAACATTTAGCTTGAATATATTCTTTCAGATTTATTTTAATTTGCATGGCTACTATTGGATCCTGCAAGTAAAGAAACAACTGCAAAACTTAAAAGCAACATCAACATCAATGCAAGATAATGGTCAAACAAAAAAATTACTCGGTAATGACTGTATGCAGCTTTTAAGGGAAAATAAAGTGTTTCTAACGTTGTTCCATTATCTGAAAGGAATATTATGTTTAAGCTCGTAAATATGCCATTCAAAAACACAGACAAAAGTATGAAAATGAAGTCTTTGAATTTATTTGGCTAAGAAGAATGACATGGAAGTCTGCAAAAACTGCTCAGATATTATTCTAAACAGCAGACTTTGGGTATTAAGCGCATTACTTAAAATACATTGAAAAAATAGAAATAAGTAATATAGGTCTAACGCACATCGCACAATTAAAAAAAATCTACAATTATCATCCATTTCAGGGTGGTTAAGTGAAAATAGAGGATTGTTATCTTGGTTTCCCATCAGTAAAACTTGTAAATTGTCTCTACTTCAATATCCAGCTACTATAAATATTGGTATTTGCATGGAACTCAAGAAGGACAATGCAGCATGCAACCTACACGATAAGAAATGCTCTCTCTAGATATGCATGTAAAAAATTACAAAATCAACTGAAAGAGGATTTGGAAGGACTTAGTTGATTACAGAGGCATGACACCATGTCAACAGTCTCTGTGGAAATCTGGCCTGAATGCCAACAAAAAATAGGAACGACTTGGAGACAAGACTGAAGAATGGTTTAGGACTGCAATGGAACTTTTGAAAACCAATTCCAAAGAGCCAGGTTGAGTTTACTATTTTATATTTAGTACCAGCTTCAAGGCAATTTTTCTGAAAGTTGAGAGAAACTGCTAAAAATGTAGAAAAATAATATTTTTACAAAAAAAAAGGTTGATTTTTAAATGTGCCTGTCTATATTTTATAGGTTCATATATGATCCAAACAATTAGATGCTTACATGATAGGCTTCAGGAGACATTAACTTTTCCTTACCCTGCTACCTAACCAGGACTGTGAATAACCATGCCATTTAATTCACACTTACCCTTTGTAACCTGCCACCTGTTAGTTTACATTCATTCAATGTATTTCTATTGCTAAATTTGATTTAAACTGATGGCTCTATAATTTTTCCTAAAACAGCAGATTCAGTAATAAAAGCACAGAGGGTTACTGGACACATCTACATGAGATGCTACATTGCTGTAGTGACGAGCTATGGTGATATACCTATTTGTTTCGGCAACATAGTGTCAGTGGGCACAAACAGCAACACTGCCACTACTGCGTGGTAGCAACAAACTCATTGCTACTGCGTAGTATGGTTGGAAACGATCTGTGTGGCTCTGGGACTATAATGGTACCAGAGGTTACTGTGCAGTCATGAAGTACTTGCTAAAGTAATAACTGTGCAGTGGGGAACATGTGTAGATGCACTCAATGAGTCTGTGGCACATTTTAAAGAAAAATGAAGTAATTTTGAAGTGCATAAATATATCTACTGTCTCAATTCCAAATACTTTTTTAATACCAAACTACAATTCCAGTCCCATGTTCCAATTATAAATCAAGCAAATTGTGAGATGTTTTTTGCTGAGAATAATCTGATAAAATCCCTATATATGTGTTTATGATTCTTTATATTCTAAAGAGAGTTCCTAAAACAGGACTCTAAAAACATAAAAATGTTAAATATCTGAATATAAATCAACTGCATGCTAAATTAGAATTCCTCTTTGACTCTATTACCTTACATTAACTCTAGTGCAATATGCATTCATGAAGCTCTTTTAAAAATTCAGGTTTCAAGAGGAAAATACTGAAATAGAAACATGATGCCCAGAAACATACATAATCCCTGAGGATGATACACATTCAGATGCTATTTCTTGTGAATTTAGCAGCTGTATGAAGAATAAGAGTTTTCGAGCAAGTATTAAAACAAGCCACAAGCTCTGTGAGGGGTATGAAACTTCAAGCTTCCAGGCATAATTTAACCTCTAATTTAAGGCAATTAAGAAGAATTTCCCAGAGAGTAAGTCATTCCCTAGATGCTTGCTGCTAGGTTTTCTTGAACCTTCTCCTGAAGCAGCTTGGACTGGCCAATATTGGAGACATGCTGTCAGAAAAGCTGGGCGACTAGCCTGATTCCAGCATGGCAGCTTGTGTGTTCTCAAATGTGTTTACTCCTCAATCTTGTCTTGAAAATGCACTTGATTTTATTGCAAGAAGTGACCAACGTGATATAAATTGACTGGACAAAGTTGTGGTCTGTTTTGAGGGGATTCATTCTAAACAACCTTCCATGGAAAACCCTGTTTCATCACCTACTTCACATTTTTCTGCAGTTTCCTTGTATAATCTTTTATCTCATGAAGACAGTCCCATAGTGAGGTTTCAGTTCTGTTTCAGAACTAACATAATATGCTCCTTCTCTTTGTGGTATTTTGCTTTAGCGACTTAGACTTCATTTGAAGCCTTTTGTTAGTATCAGTGCCTATTGTTTATGCTTCTTATTGGCCATAAGTGCTTTTCTTAGGATATTCTTACTTTTTTCAAGAGCCACAAGCCCCAACAACTATGTCTATTGTTCCTCTCTCTTTTTCTGTAGTTCACCTCTGTCCTGTGTATTGTCTTTTAGTATCTTTTGAGGCTTTATTTAAATGAAATCATTAGATAAATGATAATCTTTTTAGGAAATAAAATGAAAAAAAATACTTAAACCAGGGCTGCCCAACTTCAAAGTGGCTGGGGGGGACATCAGCAGGGGCTGCACCGGTGTGACCCACAGCCCCTCACACTGCACACCCCATGGATGCTCCTCTCCCACTGCTGCAATGTGTGCTCAATGACCCCCTCTCATCACGCAACTGTGAACCCCGTGCACTGTGTGCCTGTCACCCCTTTGTTACATTGCACATTAGCAGTCCCCCAACACCACTACATTGCATGCCACCCTACTGCACTATGTGCCTGTGACCCCCCACCTTCAACCCCTGTCCCTCCAACCTCCCACTGAACTGTATGACCCAGGCTCACCCTTGGCTTCCCACACTCCTTACTTAAACAAAGGAGAAAGTTCAATGAATATCTTTCAAAGAAAAGGAGTTGTATAGTGAAGCCCATCGTATGTTGCCCATCAGAATAATTTCCTTCCTATTATAGTCAAGGTGTATAGTCATAGTTCATAAAACTGTCAGAAATTCTAAATTCAGGCAGTTCTACGGGTGGCTGCAGGTCAATTCGATTTGCTGATAGAAAAGAAATGAGGTGGCAAGAAAAATGAACTGCCAGATATGTGCAATCTTCTTAGCAAGCAGAATAATCGCAAAGAATCATGATCAATTAGATTACAAAGAATGTTATTGTTTGCAATGCTACAAGTCTATTAACATGTTGGTATCAAGAGCTTTAACATGAACAGCTCTAATTGAACACAGATGGAGATCTCTTTTGCAGAAAGCGATTATGATCATTACTAGCCTTGCAACTAGTCCATTCACTTAGCTTCCAATGTACTGTATTTTAAGCATGATACAAAAAGCACATTAATGGGGTTCACCTGAATCAATTAAATTGGTATAGAATGACCTACAAAAACTGAATAATAATCCCACAAGGTTGGCATTAAAACTTTCTTTCTAGTCAATTTAGAGTTGTTTCCAAATAACAGGCAGCAAGTATCCAAGTTAGAACAAAACAAGTTGGCTTGAAAGTGTTTCGAATCCATCAGATATTTTATTGAGGCAGAGAGCTGCCCCAGCCCAGGCTAGAAATGTACACAGACAATTTTGGTGAAGAAACACTACTTGTTTAATCCTGTTAATCTAGGTTTATCTAGACTCTTTGGGGATGGATAAAAATTTTCAAAAGATTAACATTATTATACTCATGATAAGTATCATAATATAAAACAGCAGATACATACTTTTAGATACACAGTATGCTTCGCTATGGGCAGAGAGGAGCAGCAATTTTATATATGACCTTTGGTAACCTGTTGCTGGACCCGCACTATGATTTGTATAATGATTTATGTAGGAATGCACTACACTATTTTTCAATCATCTGTAATTCTGAAATACATAATCTTGCATGCGAGCCAACCTTCACCAGTGGAAGGGAAATATTAATCAGAAAGATAAATATATGAGCTTAGAGCTGGCAAAGCACTGTACTTACTTTTGGTGTTGGGCAGGATGCAGTGGAGAGACGAGAGGTGGCCTGGGCACGAGGAGATTCTGAAGGGGTAGTGCTGAGGGAGGCTGTGTCTCGCGGAAGCACCTGAACACCACGAGAGATGATGGAATCTGGAATCTGAATAGGAGCAGAGATGCAGTTAACAGTCCAATTAAAAATGATTTAAAAACCTTACACCTCATTCTAAAACTTTTCAGATCTAAAACCGCCCCATTTCTTGGTTTACAATCTACATCACAATTCTTTGTTCTGGTAGCAGTAGTGTTGTCTTCTTTCATTTTCAATAATAATCCACTGACAAGAATAAGGTCATATGCCAGTTGCACACACAGAGAATATTCCACAATGAATCTTGAAAAATCTATGACTGCACTCAGACGTGCTAAAATATGCAATAACGAAAAGGTCATAGGTGTGACATCTGGAAATGTCAAGGAACTGACAATAAAATATGGAGTTTTCTGTCTTTGGATCTGATGTTAAAAAAACAACAAACTGGTTAGTAGTAGCCAGACTACTCACATGTGATGGTTCTTTCATCGCCTGTCTAGGAGTTAGGCTAACAATTGATTTCCTGTTAGTAACATGATCAGAATTATCAACTGCTGTATTAGTACTAATTGATCTCTCTGATTATCCAAGAGGAGAGGCCAAAGACCGAACGAACATTTTTTTTGTTTTATGTGGTAAAGGTTTTATTTTTTCTAAAAAAACCCTTTAAACTACATTCGGTGTTGGTGAAAGAAGTTGACAGCTCTCAAACCTGAAATCTTGTATTTATACAGGAAGCAGGTAGAGTATGATCAGTAGCATATGAACTATCTGTACCAACTCTGAATTCTAATTTGGAGGGGAAAGAGAAAATACTTTTGTTTCTGTATATCGGATTAGATCTTGGTCTCTCATTTTTATATTTCAGTTTAAGAACTAGGTTCTCAGGTGATGTAAATCAGCATAACTACAGTGAAGTAAAAAGAGTTGTACCAATTTACATTTCCTGGCCTTAGTATTAAATTCCATGCTTAGGGCAGTGCAAGTAAATCTCATTTCAATTTTTCTTCTCTTTTGTTCAACTTTATCTCCAATTCCAAGGAAGAGAGATAAGGGGATGAATCTAAAAAGCAGACTGTCTCGCTTCTAAAATATTAAAGTATAGAAAATTTGTGACCTCAACCGACATTTGGACCCAACCAACCAGAGATACAAATGTGTTTATTATAATTGGACAGCTACCTCAAATTATTCATTCACTTGTCCACTGCTGCAGAAGACAACATAGTGTAAAGTTGACCATGGAAAAAACAATTTTGACATTTTTGAGCTTAATAATATCTCAAACTCTCTCCTCAATGAGACATTAAGGGCACATCTACATGAGATGCTTAACTACTCAGTAATGTAGTTAACTGTGAAATCAGCATGTGCGTCTACACGTGCACATACTTACTGTGCAGTAAACCTCACTAATCATGAGTAAATCTGCTATCTGCAAATGCACGATAGTAATGGCGCAGTTGTGCTCATGTAGACGACTGACTGGGAGAAAATCTGCTCCCAGTCAGCCATCCACCTGGGTGTGGGAGATTACTCCCTGCCCCCAGGAGCTGCCTGCTGCTGAGGCAGGCTCTGTAACCGGATCCAAGGTAGGGACTATGTTTGCCTGCTCTGGAAGCAGGGAGCTCCATGCTCCCTATTTTGAGATTGCAATCAAGGAGCAGGGGCTGGGTGATCCTTATCTCCCAGCGCCAGCCCTGTGGTCACAGCGCTGGCACTGGGAATTAATGGCCTCCCAGTGTTAGCCTTGCAGTATGGAGCTGGCACTGGGAGCTCCCTACTGCTGGGGGCTGGGGAACCTGTTTGCAGCTGGGCAGGGAAGAGGCTGGGGAGCTTGCTCTCTGCTCAGCTTCACAAGTGTACAGGTGGGTGAGAAGCAAGGCAGCTTGTTCCCCACCCAGCTCCACACTTGTTGAGCTGAGCAGGGAACAGGCTCCCCAACCTCCACCCCAAGTGCAGGGGTGGGGGCTGGGGATGGGAGCTGTCCTAGTCAGGAGCAGGTCCCACACCCATGCCCTGATCAGGTGATCAAGGCATGGGGCTTGAAAAGAACTGCTGGGATCGGGTATTAGGTCCCAACCCCCTGCCCCAATATGCCAGTGGGGCAGCTAGCAGCAAGCTAGTTGCTAGCTGCCTCACTGGTGCACTGGGGCAGGAGGCTAGGACATGCCCCTCCCCTGCAGCTCTTTCTAAGTCCCCTGCCCCTGATTGGGGAGCCAGGGCCAGGAGCTCCCTGTTGCTGGGGTAGGGGGGCATTTTCCCTACCCCAGCAACAGGCAGCCCCCGGGGGCCCGGTGCTACCTGCTAACCCCTGGGCTAGCACCCAGGGGAGCCTAGACCTCCCCCTGGTGGTGGCAGAAGCCTATTGCAGGGCCTTGGGAAGTGGGAGCAATTTGCTGCCATTAGCAGAAAATCTGTTCTTGCTTCCCTGCATGTGTAGATGCCTGCCTGGGACTGTTTACTCCTGAGTAAACTGATCCCAGATCAAATGCATGTGTAGACAAAACCTAACATTTCTGTTTCTAATTTGCAGAAGTAAATGTATCACTACTTAAAGAACTAAAACTATTATTACCCATAGAGTAACATTAACAATGTTTTGTGGTTAACAGGTTGAGATGAAGCCTTGGTGAGTAGCCAAATTCCTTATCCTCAGTTGCTAGGAAGGCAGAAAATCAAGGCAAGCAGAAGACACCTAGGGAATACCCCCTTCATACAGGTCTTTCCACAGAGGATGCACAGGTTGGGAGAGTTGTAGGGGCAGATTAGGGAAGATGCAGAAGAAGAATGGGTGTGTGCTGGGGCAAGATATACTTGATATGGTATGCTTATTTCCCTAGTGATTTTACACATGAATTAGCATACTGGGGTCACTTCAACAAGGTGGAAGTTAGGGTAGCCTTGATGCCTGTTCCAGAAAGCAAAACAACTCTGGCAACATCTTAATGTTAGTTGCCTCATCTTATTTTCTGTGTTGGTACCTATACCAGGAAATTAATTAATTTAACTCTAGGTGTCTGAAAATATGAAGCTTCCCTCCCTCCACTGACTGATGGAAGGTAGAAAGTTCCCTCTTCCACCCCATCCTCCTGACCATTGAAGGGATCCTCTTTGCTGTAGAAAGTGCAAGGGGATCTCTTTAAATCTGCCCCTTCTCTCCAACCCTGACATGGAATTTTTCTTTCACTCTGCAATTCCACCAATATTCATGATTCTGCAATTTTTAAATACTTCTCTGCTGTTCTACTAACATCCTGGATAGCATGTACATTGTTGTGTTTAGATTGAGGATCCCCAAATCTTTTGCATCAGGAGGGTTAAATGGAGACGATTCTGACCAATTTAACTGCTGCATACAGAATTCCGAATCAGTGAAACTGACTCCTGGTTAGCCATGGTTCATCTGAGGCTGGAAGGCCCACCAGGTTAACATAGTTAAGGCACACCATCTTCTGCAGCCAGCAGCACAGAAGACAGTGATGTGACTAGCATCATGCCTGGCCACCTACCAGCATGTTTCCTCAGCGTAACTGATTGGGTACTGATTTACAGCTGGGTTGTTCCTTTGGCACAAGTCTAGACTGAGACTTTACATCTGGAGTTGCATGGAGAAACCTTAACCACTCTGCCTCTGAAACTGCCTGTAACTTTGTTACTTTCATCCTATTGCCATTTGGGAAAGCTATGAACAATGACAGAAACCCTGAAGTCCCAAAGACCTAGAAACCTAATTATAATAACAATAAAACACCTTCTGCAGACATTGAGGTCTGAAATCCCATATATCAGGGAAAGTACTCTTATTGCCTAGAACAGATAATAACTTTGAGTTAGGGTAAGAGCCTGTGGGGCCTGGACCTACCTTTCATCATCCTAATAACCTCTTTTAAGACCTTCTCATATCAGTAATAAGATTAGTGGAAACAGATTTGTTTTGATTTGAAAATCACAGACTATCACTAAAATGCAAATAGCAAATGCAGCAATGTGGACAGTGTCAAATTTTGCCACTAAGAGTTACAGATAAGTCACCGTCTTAAAGCAGTATGATTTTAATATGTCAAACACATGGGATTTGCAACAATGGTCTAGTCTTCTGAGAAAAAATACTGACACATGGGGAACAAACTTTAACATAATGCAATTATTAGGTAGAAGATTGAAATGTGGTGTAAAGAACTGTATGACTAAAGGGAATAAGAATATTAATTTAATCAAGATGGATGTAAAAACATTTTAAATGGACTACACCAAAGTGACTGAAATATAAAATAAAACTCTTCCCATGTTTTCCAGGTTGATATTTAAGAATTTATTGATGGAGTCATATTCTGGCATCATGAAAATTTCCTGTGCAGGTTATTTCCTGTGCCCACGATGTTTTAGTATACTAGAGACATGTTCTGTGCATATGAAAAATAGCTTTTAAAGCCAGATGACTTATTTCCTTAGTCATAATTGCATAGTGATAGCAAAGCCTTAAAAAAGATTGTTTTTCTAAATTAAAAATAAAACCCTAGAAATTAACTACTAGAAGAACAGAAGCCGAACAAGTTAAAACTAGGAAACAAAAATCCTATAAACTAATTAGAAACAAGAGGTTCTAAGCTCTGTCAACAGGTTTAAACACCAGAAACCAGTCAGGGTTAGGGGTCACACACTTCTTCAGAACTTTGTTCAGAGTGCCACACAGGATAAAATCTTTTGCCTGATAAAAACTCAAAGGATTGCAAAAGTTCTAAATTTTGTTGGAAGACAAGTCTGAAAATTATTTCACTTCTAATAATAATTCTTACGCTTTTTAATCACACAATGCTGATGAAAAACAATGATGTGTACTCTCATTAAATATACTTCATGATTTTTGTTTTGAAAATGTCCTTTTACAGTGACAAACTTTTACTTTGGTTTCTGACCCAGTCCACCTTAAAAACCAGCAAACCAGTTTCATATTTTATTTTAGACAATATTTTATTCTTTTAAGGAATGGGAGTGTTGAATTTTTTTGTAAAGAAATAGAAATCAGGAGCTTGAGTGAGTAAAAAATGTGTGAACTAAGGTAT